CAAGAATGACTGGGAATACAAATCATGTCTCAATAATAACCCTAAATGTTAATGGCCTAAACTCACCATCAAAAGACATAGACTGGAAGATTAGATAAATAAATAATAATAAAAAAAGAACCAACAATATGCTGCCTCCAACAGACTCGTTTCATAGGAAAAGACACCCACAGACTAAAGGTGGAAGGTTGGGAAAAAACATACCACTCTCATGGACTGTGGAAATAAGCAGGGGTTTCCATCCTCATATCAAATAAAGTAGACTTCAAGCCAAAGTTAATCAAAAAAGATAAAGAAGGACATTTCATACTGCTTAAGGGAACCCATACATCAACAAGACATAAAAATTATAAATATGTATGCCCCAAACAAAGCATCCACGTTCATCAAACAAACTCTTTCTCAAGTTCAAGAGCAAATAGACCACAACACAATAATTTTCAGTGACTTTAACACACTTCTCTCACCACTTGATAGATCTTCCAAACAAAAGGTAAACAGAGAAACTATAGAACTCAATAATACAATCAATAACTTAAACTCAACAGAGATATATAAAATATTCATCTATCAATGAGTGAAAACACTTTGTTTTCATCAGCACATGGTCCTTATCTAAAATAGACCATATATTATGCCGCAAAGCAACTCTTGGCAAATACAAAAAAGTAGAGATACTACCCTGTAATCTAAAAGGTCATAATGGAATGAAATTAGAAATCAATGATAAAATAAAAAATATAAGCTACTCCAACACCTGGAGACTAAATAATATGCTATTGAATGAACAATGAGTTGCAGAAGACATCAAAGAGGAGATTAGAAAATTCTTAGAGGTAAATGATAACACTGATACAACATATCAAAAATATCTGGGACACATGAAGGCAGTACTAAAAGGAAAGTTCATTGAATGGAGTTCATTCCTTAAAGGAAGACAAAGTCAACAAATAAATGACCTAACATTACATCTCAAAGCCCTAGAAAAATAAGAAAAAATCAACACCAAAAGCAGTAGAAGACAGGAAATTATTAAAATTAGAGCTGAAATCAATGAAATTGAAACAAAAGAAACAATTGAAAAAAATGATAAAAACCAAAAATTGGTCTTTGAACAAATAAATAAAATTGATAAATCCTTACCCATGCTCATAAAGAGAAAGAGAAAGAAAACTCAAATTACTAACATCTGTGATAAAAAAGGAAATATCACAATGGACACTACAGAAATACAGAAGATAATTAGAAATTATTTTGAAAATTTGTATCCAATAAATAGAAAATATCAAAGGCATTGACAAATTTCTAGAGTCCTATGATTTGCCCAAACTGAATCAGAATTATATACACAAGTTAAACAGATCAATTTCAAGCAATGAAATAGAAGACTCCATCAGAAGCCTACCAACCAAGAAAAAGCCCAGGACCAGATGAATACACAGCTCTACAAGACCTTCAAAGAAGAACTAATACCAATACTCCTCAAATTATTTCATGAAATAGAAAAAGAGGAAACACTTCCAAACTCATTCTATGAGGCGATATCACTGTGATTCCAAAACCAGGCACAGACACATCAAAGAAAGAAAACTTTAGACCAATATCTCAAATGAACATAGATGCAAAAATTCTCAATAAAATTCTGACAAATCAAATACAAAAACATATCAAAAAGATAGTCCACCACAATCAAGTGGGGTTCATTCCAGGGATGTAAGGTTGGTTCAACAGACAGATTTCAATAAATGTAATTCATCACATCAATAGACTTAAAGATAAAAATCATATGATCATCTCAATTGGTGCAGAAAAGGCATTTGACAAAATACAGCACCTCTTCATGTTCAAAACACTATAAAAACTCGGGATAACAGGAACATATCTCAACATTGTAAGTTTTCTATGCTAAGCCCAAAGCCAACATCATTCTAAATGGAGAAAAATGGAAAGAATTTCCTCTAAAAACTGGAACAAGACAGGAATGCCTTCTTTCACTACTTCTATTAAATATAGTTCTTGAAACTCTAGCCAGAACAATTAGACAGATGAAAGAAATTAAAGGGATATGGATAGGAAAAGAAGAACTCAAATTATCACTATTTGCTGAAGCCATGATTCTATACCTAGAGGATCCAAAAAAAATCTCACCAGAAAACTTCTAATACATTAATTCAGCAAAGTAGTAGGATACAAAATCAACACCCATAAATCAAAGGCATTTCTGTATATCAGTAACAAATCCTCTGAAAGAGAAACTAGGAAAACTACCCCAATTACAATAGCCTCAAAATAAAATAAAATACTTGGGATTCAAAGAGGTGAAAAAGACCTCTACAATGAAAATTACAGAACACTAAAGAAAAAAAAATAAAGAAGACCTTAGAAGACAGAAAGATCTCCCTTGTTCTTGGATAGACAGAATTAATACTGTCAAAATGACCATACTACCAAAAGCACTAAACAGATTTAATACAATTCCAATAAAAATCCCAATGACATTCCTCAGAGAAATAGAAAAAGCAATCATGAAATTCATCTGGAAAAATAAGAGACCCAAAATACCAAAGCAATCCTTGGCAAGAAGAGTGAAGTAGGTGGCATCACTATACCAGACCTCAAACTCTACTACAGAGCAATAGTAACAAAAACAGCATGGTACTGGCACCAAAACAGACTTGTAGACCAATGGTACAGAATAGAGGACACAGAGACAAACCCACATAAAAACAGTTATCTCATACTAGACAAAGGCATCAAAAACATATATTGGAGAAAAGATAGTCTCTTCAACAAATGGTGCTGGGAAAACTGGAAACCATATGCAGCAAAATGAAATTAAACCCCTATCTGTCACCAGCACAAAACTCAACTCAAAGTGGATAAAGGACCTAGGAATTAAGCCAGAAACCCTGTGCCTAATAGAAGAAAAAGTAGGCCCAAATCTTTATCATGTCAGATTAAGCCCTGACTTCCTTAATAAGACTCCTATAGTGCAAGAAATAAAATCAAGAATCAATAAATGGGATGGATTCAAACTAAAAAGCTTCTTCTCAGCAAAAGAAACAATCAGTGAGGTGAAGAGAGAGCCTACAGAATGGGGGCAAGTTTTTACCATATGCACATCAGATGGAGCACTAATGTCTAGTATACATAAAAATCTCAAAAAACCAAAAAAACACAAAAAAAAAAGAAAGAAAGAAAGCAAATGACCCAATCAACAAATGGGCCAAGGAACTGAACAGACACGATATACAATCAATAGACAAATGTATGAAAAAATGTTCAACATCTCTAGCAATTAGAGAAATGCAAATCAAAATTACTGTAAGATTTCATCTTACTCCAGTAAGAATGGTAGCTATTAAGGATACAAACAACAATAAGTGTTGGTGAGGATGTGGGGGAAAAGGCACATTCATACATTGCTGGTAGGACTGCAAATTGGTGCAACCAATCTGGAAAGCAGTATGAAGATTCCTTGGAAAACCTGGAGGAACCACCATTTGACCCAGCTATCCCATTCCTCAGTTTATACCAAAGGACTTAAAAACAGCATACTACAATGATGCAGACACATCAGTGTTTATAGCAGCACAATTCACAATAGCTAAATAGTGGAACCAATATAGATGCCCTTCAACTGATGAATTGATAAAGAAACTGTGGTGTAGATACACAATGGAATATTACTCAGCATTAAAAGAGAATAAAATCATGGCATTTTCAGGTAAATGGATGGAGTTGGAGAATATCATGCTAGGTGAAGTAAGCCAATCCCCCAAACCCAAAGGCTAAATGTTTTCTCTGATATGTGGATGCTGATCCATAATGGGAATGGGGTGGGGAGAAGCATGGGAAGAATGAAGGAACTTTGATTGGGCAAAGGGGAGGGAGGGGAAGTGAGGGGCAAGGGGGTTGGAAAGATGGTGGAATGAGATGGTGTGACTCTACTTTGTGTACAACCAGAGACATGAAAAATTGTGCTCTATATGTGTACTATGAATTGAAATGCATTCTGCTCTCGTGTATAACAAATTAGAATAAATTTAAAATTTAAAAAATGATAATTACATATTTTATGACCAATTACTATTAGATTCAAGTAATTTTTAAAAATATGTGTACAGGTTATAAAAAGGGGGGGTTATGGATATTGTTCATTAGTAGAGCACCCCTGGATTCAAAACCCAGTACTCACCCCCCGCCAAAAAAAAAGAAACACATTCAATTAAATAGAGAAGAATGGTTGCTTTGGTAAGAGGAAATAGTTTGGAAGGAGGGACAAATACTAGATAGATAGATAGATAGATAGATAGATAGATAGATAAAATAAGAGAGGGACCTTGAAGAGACTAAAGAGGAGGAGGTACTTTGGAATAAGGAGTATAATTAATTCAATCTCCCAAACTTGAAGTTGAAAAACAATTTTAAAGGCTGGGGACTTGGCTGGGGTGAGGCTCAGTGGTAGAGCACTTGTCTAGTATGAATGAGGTCTGGGTTCCATCCCTACCACTGCAAAAAAAAATGGAAAGGAAGAAAAAATATTTTAAGTATGCAGAATGGGTTAAAACTGTGAATCTATGGGCTAGGGTTGTGGCTTAGTGGTAGAGCGCTTGCCTAGCATGTGTGAGGCACTGGGTTCAATCACCCTGCCCTCTGGTACCATATAAAAAATAAAGAAATAAAATAAAGGTATTGTTTACATCTACAACTAAAAAAATAAAAATAAAAAACAAACTGTGAATCTACTAGGAGCAGAGAAAAGACATAAGCCCATCTGTTTGGCTATCCAGAATGTCAATTGTTGCAGAAGACTCTCAGTTCCTTCTTTTTATATACATATATTTTATTAGTTGTAGATGGACACAATACCTTTATTTTTTATTTTTATGTGCTGCTGAGGATCAAACCCAGTGCCTTCCACATGCGAGGCAAACACTCTACCACAGAGCTACAACCCCAGCCCTCTCAGTTCCTTCTTAAGAATCAAGCATACTAACTTGTCAGCCAGGGTCCTTGGTCTTGGAAGTTCTCACTCAGAGAGCAGTCCACCACCTGTGATCTGGATCTCTGATTTAGAAGAGGATGAATTCTAGGGAAGGATGTTGGAGAGGAGTCCCATGCTGGCACAGCCCAGAGGAGTCTTTACACACACACACACACACACACACACACTGTTTATAGAGACTAGTTAAATGATTTATACTGTAGCACTGCAATGGGGTGAGACACACAAAAAAAGAGCAATCATATCTATATGTATTAATGTATATCATCAAGATATATTCCTAAGTGAAAAAAGCAGATTTCAGGAGCTGGAAATTTAGCTTAGTGGTAAAGTGCCTAGGATATAGAGGCCTTGGTTTGATCCCCAGAACTGCAAAAAGAAAAAAAAAATTGTAAAATTGTGTGTGTGTGTGTTTTCAGATAGCAAAATAGGGCTGGAGGTGTGTAGCTTAGTGATAAAGGACTTGCTTGCCTAGCATGCATAAGGTTCTGGGTTAGATCCCTGGCGCCCCAGAGTGAGGGGTGCAGGGGGAACTATTGCCGTCTGGTGTTGTAGTTCAGTGGTAGAATGCTTGCCTTGCAGGCATGAGGTACTGGATTTGATTCTCAGCACCACATAAAAATAATAAAATAAAGGTATTGTGTCCATCTGCAAGGAAAAAAAAAGTATTTGAAAAAACTATTGCAAACTAATATATATGGCATGCTATATTAATATTTTTTAGAAAGAAATGGATCACATATGCACTTGCATACACAGTTGTTTGTTATCTACAACATATTTGTTGTAGATATATATATATATATATATATCCATATCCATAGAGATATATACAAGAAGCTGGAATTAGTGGTTATTTCTGTTGAACAGACCTGGAGGATGGAAGGTCATGACATTCATTCACAAACATTTAATGTTTGTGGTGGGTGTTATGAGCTATACAAAACTAAAGATATTGCTATCATTTCTTCCATCAAGAACATATGAAGGGGAGAAAGACATACATGGTTAACTACATCACAAGGCAAAAGCTGATTAGTGTTATGCAAAAACTGTACATACATTTTTGTACTTTAAAATTTACTATAATCGGCACAAAATAATTTCATGATTAAAAAAAAAACAACTTTATGTTAGAAAGCAACAGTTAAAAAGAGCTAAAGTAGGGCTGGGGATGCAGTCCAGTGGAAGAGTGCTTGCCTAGCATGCATGAGGCCCCAGCACTGTCAAACAACTAAATACAGCTAAAGTATCTTTGTACTTAAGGTTACCAATTTTCATCACAATAATGAAAATACTTATAGAAAGTATACTAATGCCTTCTTTTCCTGAAGAGTAGTGACATTTATCTGAAGGTTATGTAACAACAGCACTTACCAGAGTTCAGCAGGATGGGAGTTTTGAGATTTCATTCAGTTATGATGTCAGATTTCCTGTTGTATTCGTGGCTCTTCATTCATCCTCTGTGACCAGTGGCCCAAGTCTGCATGACCACTGGGCAAGATTCTCTGCCACGGGTCAAAAGCCAGCTAACTGGTCCCAAAGAGGGGGAGTCTTTGTTAATGGAGAAATGAAATGCCTGGTTCTCCCTAGGGATCCTACCCACTGGCTGTGTTAGAATAAAGCCTTATCCAGGGAGAGGTGATGACCAGGCTTGTAGCAAAGGTAATTTGAAGCCCCAGGCCTCAAAGATAACTGTGTCTCTAGCCAGCTCTGAACAAAGAGAGTGTAGTTTCTGGGGAAAATACCACTACTGCCTGCATGAGCAGCTTCCAGGGTTGCAGTGAGGTTTCAGTCTCTGGGTACAGTCAATGGTTCCAACTGCTCTGGTGGTTTGAGTAGCAAATGTGTATGTATGCTGAAACCATTTGGGGAATGTGTGTAGCAATAAGCAAACAGGCAAAACCTACTGCTTTGAGATGTTTTGTAACAGCTGTGTGCTCCCTACAGAACAGACTTTCCTCATTACCTAGGTCCAGAGCATCCCCTGATGTTAGAATGCCGGGGCCCACAGAGAGTTTGAGATGAAGAGGGACTAGTACAAGTGGCCAACTAGATCAGGCAAGAAAAGGGCTCAGCAGCTGAGATGATACGTTCATCTCAGAGTATCATCTCAGAGTATCATCTTCATCAGTGCAGAGTACCCATACAGGTATCAACTCCAAGTGAGAGATTCCTCCAGCTTTCTAGGTGAATGTGCTTCCGCTGTGCAAGTCAGACAGACTTGAATGTCATCGTGACTTGTGCTTATGACATCTTTGCCCAAGAGGAGAACTTTTATGTTCTTTGTAATATGGAAGGAAAGATATTGACTGAGCCACTCCTTCATGCTTTGAGACATCTCATCTATATGTATATGCATACATACATAATACGTATAACTTCTATTACAGCAATATGTTCTATAATTATTATTTATTATAGTATGGTGTTAGGATAGGGTAGATAGGTTACATCAACACAAAGCCCCCAAAATATTATTGACTTGACATGATGAAAGTTTCTCATGCATCACGATCTAGTGTAAACTGGGAGCTTTCCCGGGTGATACCTCCAAATGGTGACCTGGGAATTCAAGCCCCATTGATCTTAAAAGGCCAACATCTTCAACACTGACACAGGGGAAGAATAGAGTATATATAAGACCACACAGCAGGATCTGTGGCTAAGTCTGCAAGCACCACCCATTATTACTTCTGCTATATCCTGTCAGCCAGAATCCAATAATATGGCTCTATCCTAACTTTGCAACAAAGGCTGGAAAATGTCCTTTTTGTATGCCAGGAAGAGTAAATGAAACTGAAAAATATCTGGTCAGCCTTTGCTACAAGTTCGTACAGGTTGGAATTAACTAGTATTTTTTTCTAATTATGTTTGGCATTTGGTACTATTATGTAGGCTGCCTTGCTGCCTCAAACAGTACTCTGTGACATCCCTTTCCTCACTACACAACTGAATTGTCAGGAGAGGTTTTATTATCCACATTTTATGGGTGAGGATCTTGAGACTCAGGGTAGTTTCATGACTTGTCCAAAGTCACCCTCTAAGTGACAGAAATTTGCTTCTATCATTCTCAATTAGTAATCTTTCCACTGCACCATGAGGCCATCCCCAGAAGTTCAAACCAGATGCAAAGATTTCAGTGTACAAACTCAAGTATGCAAGAAAGATTTACTTATTCCTTTGTCAATCAACCTAATGTATGTTTCAAGTCTGCACTCTATATTGGGAGGTGTCATTCATGACTTCCATCATTTCAGTATTTGTCTACCTTTACGAAGGTATCTATGTCTAGGGTGGGAGTGGAAAGGGTGGTTAGTGTGGTTAGGTAGTGCCAAGGTACTAGGAGATCTATTTGTTTTTTAAGTCTGATTTTGGAGGAGGCACCAACCAAGATGTCTATGGTTTTTTTCTAGTCCTTCTTTACTGACAGTGTTAAGTCTGTGACTCCTTTCAGTTCACAGTAATGTTCAACAGCTCCCTGCTACCTTGGGGCCCACTCCAGGTGTTGGGAAATTCTGTAGGCCATCAGCACACAGCCATTTTTCTCCCTAGGCTTGCTACCTCCTCTTAAAGTGAGGTAGTAGGGAAGGACCTACTCATGCTTTTTTTATCCTCTGGCTGTTCATCCATCTTTCCTCCCATTAGCAGAGGGAAGTGTTTCTAATCTTCCAGAAAAGCCCTACTCTCCTCACACCTTTTTCCTCCAGAATACTGTGGCTGTACTTCAAATCCTGTCTAGACCTCAGAGAGGTTTTTTAACATAACATACAACTCACAAAAGTTATGTTGTTCTTGTTTTGCTTTTTATCCTAATATATCATTCCCCCACCTTGAGGCAATGCAACAATGGCCTGCTGTCCAAGGCATGGAGGCAAGGAGGAGGGGCAGGGGAATACCAGGAAAAAACCATTTCTCAGTCACATGTGTATCACATGTAACTTCTCCAGGTCCTCCTTGTGAGGCAAATATCTGTGTCATTGTTCTGAATCTAACAGTGAAGAGAAGCACTGATGAGAGTTATTCCATTTGGAAACTAACAGATTAGGCTTCTCCTGCTGGATGCGTCTTTAAATTCCAGCTCCGTGCACAAACCTAAACCCCTATGGCTCCATCCTTCATGGCTTGATCCTACTACCTTGGTGATCAAGTTTTCAGTTAAGAATTGGGACCTGAAAACTTACAACCATGAAAGTCTGTCCATGGACAACTGACTCTTCTTTCTCTCTCTTTTTTTTTTTTTTTTTTTTTTTTTGCAGTGATAGGAATTGAACCCAGGGCCACTATGCACATGATAGACAAAGTGCTCTACCACTGAGCTACATACAAGCCCTAATTAATCCTAAATGTGAAAACAATGATTTGTTTCTCTGGCTATTTAGCTGTTTATCACCTCCCCTGCTTCAGTTGTGAGCACATGCTCTGGAATAAGTCAATGGGGTAAGCAAACATGTTGGTGTGGAAAGACATCCACACTGATGAAGGGACAAGAGACAAGGAGGCATTATGTCTCAGATGAGAGGTCACACTGCTTATTAAAGCTGAAGGAACTTACACCAATTTATAGGCAAAGAGATACTTCCTTAAAGCAAAACCTTGTTTAAAAACAACAACAAAAACCGACTTTAAAAAAATCTAGTTTGTACCAAACCTTATAAAATGGATTTTTAAGATCATTTAAAAGCACACTAGGCTTTCAAAAGATGTTTGTTTTAAAGAGTACAGTTGGCTTTTAGTCAAAACTGAAGTTTCGGTAATGCACAGTAACAATTGTAATATAATTATTGGCCACAAATGCCAGGTGTCCAACCAAGCCTTTTCTACCATGTAAAGAGCCAAGCCAAGGGGCTGGGGATGTGGCTCAAGTGGTAACGTGCTGGCCTGGCATGCGCGGGGTGCTGGGTTCGATCCTCAGCACCACATAAAAAAAAAAAAAACAAAAATAAAGATGTTGTGTCTGCCGAAAAACTGAAAGAGCCAAGCCAAGTAAAAATGCCCTGCCTAGCCATACCCAGAAGTTCAAAAGCTCAGTCTTTGTCATCAGTGAGGAATTAATTCAAAAAGCAAAGCCATTATTAGGAACAGCCAGGCATTCTGTTGT